TCTGCTTTGGAAATGTCTGTTATTGGTCGCACTGACTCTGATGGCATTTCAGGTTTATAAGCTGATGAATAAACTCCTGCATGACCAGTACAGGCTGAAGAAGGTCAGTATTGAGCGCAGCTCCTCAGAGGCGCAGGTGGAGCGCACCCTCTACCACGGCACCAGTGAGACCAGCGTCAAGGAGATCTGCATTCACGGCTTCAACAGGAGCTTCTGTGGGAAAAACGGTACTGTGCTGTTAATCAGTCACACCCTTCACTGCATCACTGTTGCATTGTTTATAGCAGGGTTATTATAGTACACTACACTTACAACTAATACCATAAACATTTTTCGTTACTTGAAATAAAAAATCATTTTATTTTCAGCTCACATATTATGTTTGTAGTTTAACTAAAAAAAACTCAAATTAAAAAGACTAAAATTAATGGTTTGGGGACCAGTTCTCACTATTAATAATTTGCTGCTTATTAATAGTTAGTAAGGTAGTTGTTAAGTTTAGTATTGGGGTTGATTAAGGGATCTAAAATATGGTCATGCAGAATAAGGCATTAATATGTGCTTTATAAGAACACTAATAAACAGCCGATATGCTAATAATATGCATGCTAATAAGCAGCTAGCTAATAGTGAGAACTGGTCACTATTTACCAAACTAATAAATACAAATTAATAAAAAAACTGTACAGACTTATTTAAAAAAATAATAATTTAAGAAGAAAAAAATAAAAAAAATGACAAAAACAAAATTACTAAAAATCACTAAAATTTAAGTAAAAATAGAAAATAGAAAAATAGAAATCTGATTCAAAATATTAACAAAGCTATAACAGTATATCTGTGATACTAGAATAACATAGGCTCATACATAAGTTTGGGATTTGAAAAAGCAACCTCCCAGGAACACCTTAGCAACCACCTAGCAATGGCCCAGCAAGAAGAAACTGAATAACAACCCATTACAAACCACTCACAGCACCTTAATAACCAGCTAGCAATGCCCTTGCAAATGGACACAATTCTATCAGTTCACGTCTTTGATAATTCACACTGCGTGATTGTCACTCGCGTGAACGAGCACCGATTTGCCTTCGATTTTGGGCATTTGTCTGCGATTTCGCGAAACCTGTCGGCGAGTGAAAGTCAGAGCTACAATCGTGCAGAGTGTGAACTCGGCATTAGCGAGACATTACCAACCAGTCAGAACATCTTAGAAACGTGCTGCAATCACCACATCACCATATGAATCAGGGATATTATCGTTAACTAAATCTAGAAAAAACGTTTTCATTACTTCATACAACTAGTTGAAATTAAATTATAGTAAATAAAAAAAAAAAACTAAAATTTAATCAAAACTATATAAACTCAGAAAACAAAACAAAACCCCCCAAAACTAATAAAAATGACAAAAACACAACAAAATTGCTAAAACTTTAAAGGGGTCATATGATGTTGCTAAAAAGAACATTATTTTGTGTATTTGGTGTAATGAAATGTGTTTATGCGGTTTAAGGTTATAAAAACACATTATTTTCCACATACTGTACATTATTGTTTCTCCTCTATGCCCCGCCTTTCTGAAACGTGTCAATTTTTACAAAGCTCATCGTTCTGAAAAGCGAGGTGTGCTCTGATTGGCCAGCTATCCAGTGCGTTGTGATTGGCTGAATACCTCAAGCGTGAGACGGAAATGTTACGCCCCTCACCATACTATGATTATCAGTTTCAGGAAACTTTCCTTCGTAAAATGCGCTGCACACGCTCGAATATTTGGGTTGTTCTGTTCTGAAACAGTGTTGTAAATAAAATAAACCAGATTTCTAGTCATGTCCTCTTTTGGAAGACCAAACAAAGTAGTTTCGCTTTCACAACGAAACACACAGCGTCTTCACGGCATGGCGGCGGCGGCAACAATACTACAGCGAGAATAAAAGTTACGCCTTCTTTCTTTGCGTGAACATTTGGGCGGCGTTATGCAAATCTTCCCACACAGTGACGTAGACATGTGGGGGCGTGTTAGAACGAGCCGTTTTAGGTAGGCGTGGCTGACTCTTAACTTTTATAAAGAATATCTCTTTGGATTTGAGACTTTAGTCTTTGCAACTTTACAGATCTTCTTTATGCACCAAGAGCTTGTAACACTCCAAAGAGAAAGGAAAAAATTAAATCGCATCATATGACCCCTTTAACTTAAATTTGAAAGAAAACAACAAAAAATTAAAAACGAATTCAAAATATTAACAAAAACTATAATAGTACACAAATGCCTCTGAAATAACACCGAAATGAATTTAAAAATAATAAATGCATCTTGTCTTTTCTCTGACAGCCACTGTGTACGGTCAGGGCGTGTATTTTGCGGTGAACGGCTCACTGTCCGTGTCTGACACCTACTCTCCACCCAATGCAGACGGGCACAAGTTTATTTTTGTGGCCAGAGTGCTGACCGGAGACTTCACCGTGGGCAAGTACGACTACAAAACCGCCCCGCTGAAGGAGAGCTCTGGCGTTCCTGTCAGATACCACAGCGTGACGGATCAGATCAACTCCCCGACGCTGTTCGTCATCTTCAACGACACACAGGCTTACCCACAGTACCTCATCACATGCAAGAAGATCTACGGCTGATCACATGCCTTCTCATTTATAATGCCACTGGCGGTCATGTCTAATCATTAACCCACTCTTACTTTACTGCACGTGTGTTTATTTTAAACAGGAGTTTGTCTAAACAGTAGTTGAGTGTTGTTTTCTTTTCATTTTATGAATAATATGATTCTTCTGTATTGTAAGTGACTGACAAAATGTTTTCATATTTCGGTGTCCTTTAATGATTGATATTTTTTAAACAAATGTATTCAGTCGTAACGTATTGTCTGCTTTAAGACTGTCAGCTTCACATCACTCACAGATGAGTATTTTTGGTGTCAAAAAATTGAGTAAATAAATGCTGGAATGAAGTTATTATCTACAGTGTTTGTATACAGTAGTAGCAGTATAGTAACAATGTTTACAGTAGATAAGTGTTTAATTCTATTATTTAATTGTACACTGTGAAATAAAAAGATTTGGGGTTCCTCGGATCGTCACACTTGAGATAATTTGGCAACACCAATAACTCTTTTAAATCTAAATCGATGCTCATCTGAATACATATATTTATAGGTAACACTTTACAGTAAGGTTCCATTTGTTAACAATATTTAATGCATTAACTATCAATGAATAATACATTGTTACAGTATTAATTTTTGTTAGCATAAAAATACAGCTGTTCTTTGTTAGCCCATGTTCGCTCAGGTCCATTAAATAACATTATCAGATAACAACTTTTTAAATAATGTATTAATAAATGTTGGAACATTAACTAAGATTAATAAGTGTTTTTTCATTGTTTATATTAACTAATGTAGTCATTAACAAATGGACCCTTATTTTAAAGTGTTACCTATTAATAAAATAATATTACTAACAAAGAGTACCACTGTAATATGAATGTTCAAACTCCTAGCTGTGGAGTTTTGTCTTCTGTAGGATATCATATTTTATTGAATTTCTCTGATGCATGTCACAGCTGTAAGTCTGGATGTCAGAGTGGAAGTTTCACTCCCTCTGCTTGGTCTTCAAAAATGTCTGATATTAATTTAGTGATCAAATTTCACACCCTTATGGAAATATGATCATATTTTGTAATGATCATTTAAATCTGGCTAATTTTTAAATTGTCATAAATCATCATCTCAGGAAAATGTTATGGGGTTTCATTTGTGTTTATTACACATTTTGGGAGACGTGACAACTGAATAGGGAAAGAAATTATATTTCAGTATTCCTGTGAAATATTAGATATTACTTTGAAAATCTTGCCAATTATTACTCCCATTATTACACCTCTTTTTTTATTATTTCACGTTGCCCCAAGAACACATTAATATGCAAATTAGGAACAGTATATAGATACATTGTATAAAATGGGAAAACCGTTTATGGCCATTTTACGCACATATTGCATAAAGCAAAATAGTATATCAAATCATTCTGAACTGAATAGGGAAAGAAATTATATTTCAGTATTCCTGTGAAATATTAGATATTACTTTGAAAATCTTGCCAATTATTACTCCCATTATTACACCTCTTTTTTTTTTATTTCACGTTGCCCCAAGAACACATTAATATGCAAATTAGGAACAGTATGTAGATACATTGTATAAAATGGGAAAACCGTTTATGGCCATTTTATGCACATATTGCATAAAGCAAAATAGTATATCAAATCATTCTGTTATATCTTTCGTAACATAGTAGAGAATCATCTTTATACAAAGTTTGGTATAAAAAATAAAAATTGATAGGTGATAAAAAATAAAAATCCCACTGTGTTAGCTTTTTCATGTCTATTCATGTCTATTTTTTTTAAGTACAGGGGCCAGTTGCATAAAAGGTTAAGACTAGTCTTAAAAGTTAGTTAGCTAATTTTTTTCTTTAAGACTGGTCATATGTTTTTTAATTCAGTTACATAAAAATGTAGATTAGTCTGAGTTGAATCCAAAAATAAGACTGATTACCCTTTGGCTAACTGCTAGTTGGTCAGACTAGTTCTTAAGACACTGTCTTAACATAGAGACTAAGTTTATGCAACTGGCCCCTGGTGTCCTTTACAGTCAGCGGACATAGCATAACTGCTAGTTGGTCAGACTAGTTCTTAAGACACTGTCTTAACATAGAGACTAAGTTATGTAACTGGCCCCTGGTGTCCTCTACAGTCAGCGGACATAGCAAAACAATAAAATATCATTTTTCAAAAATTTTATTTTTCAATTTTTTTTCTTATGCTCTAAACAATGTAATTACATGGAAAATACTAAATTCACAAAATCTTTTTTTTATTTTTTATAACACTTTTATATATTCACTATGTCCATACATCTATATGTTCACATATATAACAGAAGTGATCGGTTCAGAGAAAAGGGAACTGGTGTCACGCGCTCATTGCGCAGGTCGGACACATTTCGGCGCTGCGCTGCTGCTGCTGCTGGCGCGGGTCATTCTGGGATGTGTGATGAATGAGAAAGTGTTGTCCATTGTGCTGAGTTCGTCTGTAAATAAATATATTTTTGAGACCAACTGGTCATAGGGCTCATTTGGAAGTTTGCACAATAACTCGCTGGTATGTTAGAGTTTATTTTGCGTATCTGCAAATTATGTTTTTATGGTCACGCACAGCTCGCTAGCATATTAGCGGGAGATGCATATCAACAAAACGCTCGAATCTGCGTGCAAATCAGTAAATCACAAGCATAAGTCAGCAGATGTGTGTGTTTAGCTTGTCATGGTTTGTGGATCAGTCAGAGTGTAAACTGGTCACTCTGGGTTTGATTGGTTAGGTGCTGAGGGGAGCTGCTCTTCATCTTCACCATCATCATGTACGCGGTGTACCGTCAGGCTCATCCGCCCACTGCTGTGGAGTTCGCCGTGTACTGCAACTTCATCTCCAGCCAAGAGAAGAACCTGGTGGTGGCAGCAACCTCTCAGCTGTATGTCTACAGGATCATCTATGATGTGGAGGTGAGGTGGGGGGGCTTTTCTGTCTCTGTTCAATTAAATGAGACGCAACAACAACCATCAACCCTCTACGGACACCTTGGCAATTGAATCGCCATTAGCTAGTACATTTTTTTGTTTACTCGCCAGACTGATATACCATATATGCATGTGTGTGTGTGTGTGTGTGTGTGTGTGTGTTATATATATATATATATATATATATATATGTGTGTGTGTGTGTGTGTTTGTAAAATGGCACAGAAATTACTACTTTCTTAACATCAGTCAGTCAAGCATTATATATGATAATCAAGTATTATTGAATGATAGAACTTCAGTAATTAGAATTAAAACCATGTATGAATGCATATTAGTCATTTTAACTGAATTAGGACTGCTGGTGCTGCTTTTTTGGTCATTCAGTGTTTCTGTAAAAAAAATGGGGAAAAACTAACAATAATACTGATAAGATAATAATAATACGTAGAATTCTACTAATAAGAACAATATAAAACGCACTAAGGATTAACGAGCTGCTGGATTCATGAATATTAATCAGGTTGTGTGTGTTGGCTGGAATTGATTGGCTGAAATCAAAACGGGGACGATAATAGGTGAGCGCCAGCCAATGAGATTGTCGTTTGCGCATTAGTTCCGCCCACTACCGGAGAAAGCGGTAGTTCTTAAAAGCTGAAGAATTCCAAAGGAACTCCGTTATTTTGACAGCAAAATACAACAAAGAATATGTGGCTAATATTAGACATCATTTAGTAGCCCAGAGTGAAGATTTAGTCGCATATGTTTGTGATTTACTCACAATGTAGAGGGTTAGTCATGCAGATGTTTGAAGTCAATTCACACAGATGTCATAGCTAAGAAACCACAGGCGTACACACACACACACATGTGTAAAAAGGCCTAATACTTTTGCACGGTACTATATGTAATATTTATTGTTTTCTTATTTTTTCTATCATTTTAAACCTTACAAACGTTGGTTGTGAAATGTGCTTGAGAAGTATGTTTTTATTAGCTGTATCTTTATGTAAATATCTTTATATCATTATGCTATCTTTATATTTTTTAGAATAAATGTCACCTGGTTTGGTTCACTTTGGTTTATATGGGTCATTAATACAAACATTAATCATTTGCCCTTATTGCATTCTAGAGCACTTCCAAATCAGAAAAGTCATCAGGTAAGACTTTTCATTTTTTTGTCTGTAGTCAAGTATCCTGTAGATTATTATTATTATGTTTACTATTAATCTAACTGTGTAGATGGCAAGAGCCGTAAAGAGAAGCTGGAGCAGGTGGCGTTACTGGATAGGGAGTTGTATAAATGTTTTATAATTATTAATTATTTTATAATTAAATTTAATTAATTATACACTATTTTAGAAATATTACAACTCAGTTTCTACCAAATAAAATGTTTTAGAACTAAGTGTAATTAGTAAAATGTATTTTCATTTTAAAATGCCCATGGTATTTTAAGATTTTATTAATTTAACAAAGAAAACAAACAGTCGTTAAGGGGGTGAATAACTTGTTTCTTAGTTGTTTTATTGCTAGTTTTATTATTTTTAGTCACTAAAAAGTATTTTAAATCATAATAAGTCATCTGAGACCCCCTGTTCTGAAGTTTGCTCAGGCACAAAGTGTTTTCATATCAGAAAAATAATCTTTCCAGTTTGTTTTTGAGTGGATGTCCATGGCCAGCGTTCAGCTCGCGGGCACCAACAGAGACGCCTTGCTCCTCAGCTTCAAAGATGCCAAGGTACGCGTGACTGCATCACAGCTACTTCCTGCGAAAGAAAAGCTTTGAAGATTGTCTGAATGATAAGGCAGTTTAATGGTGGTGTGTTTTTTCTTCCAGCTCTCAGTTGTGGAGTATGATCCAGGCACGCATGATCTCAAGACGCTGTCGCTGCACTATTTCGAGGAGCCGGAGCTGAGAGTGTGTTCTGTGTTTATGAGCATGTGTTGAGCTGCTGATCTGTGGAGGGTGTGTTGTGATGGCTGTGTGTTTGGATGTTTTCAGGAAGGGTTTGTTCAGAATTTGCACATCCCCATGGTGCGTGTGGACCCAGAGAACCGCTGCGTTGTCATGCTGGTGTACGGCACCTGTCTGGTGGTTCTGCCCTTCAGGAAGGACACGCTGACCGATGAACAAGAAGGCATTGTGGGAGAGGGGTATGAGCAAATATTTTCTGCTTTTTTGTAGGCATTTTGAAATTATTACACTGCCTTTGAAAAGCTTGGGGTTGGTAAGATATTTTTAATGCTTTTGTACGATTTTTTAAAAAGTTTTGTAATGTTTTAATGTTTATTTTTAATGTTTTTGTCGCATTTATTTAATCAAAAATATAGTAGCTAGGAATAGTAATATTGTGAAATATTATTACAATTTAAAATAACCGTTTTCTATGTGAATATATTGTAAAATGTAATTTATTCTTGTAATCTATCTATCTATCTATCGTTATGTTCTATCATCTCTCTATCTATCTATCTATCTATCGGTCTATCTATCGGTCTGTCTGTCTGTCTGTCGTTATGTTCTATCATCTCTCTCTCTCTCTATCTATCTATCTATCTATCTATCTATCGGTCTATCGGTCTATCTATCGGTCTATCTATCTGTCTCTCTCTCTATCTATCTATCTATCTATCGTTATGTT